CCCCTCCCACCCCTGGTAACCAACAAAGACAGTTTCCTTCCCTATAGAAACCTTTACTTGACTTTTACAATAACGGACTAATACAATATTTGTCCTTCTGTGATTGACTTGTTTCACTCAGCATAATGTCCTCCAAGTTCATCCACATTATGCAGTGTTTTGCAGATTCTAGGTTATTCTTTAGGGTTGCATAGTATTCCATTATGTGTATGTACCAAAGTTTGGTTATCCATTCCTCAGTTGATGGACACCTAGGTTGTTTCATCTTTTGGCTATTGTAAATAGTGCTGAGATAAACATGGGTGTGCATATGTCTGCTCTTGTCTTGTACAATGACTTTTAACCCTAGTCTTTCACTTAACAGTACTGGGTGGAGTAGGGTGGGGAGTAGGTAAACAGAACTGAGTCAGCTTGAGTAAGGAATGATTGAATAGTGGGGAAAGGTAGACCTTCCCTTTACATGACTCACCTTTGTTCTTTACAAGTTGGCCCCAACAAACAAAGAGTGGTTATAGCTCCAAGAGACCCTGCATCCTCAGTGCTTATGTGTCAGAATTGTACACGTGTGGGCTTGTCAAGACGGGACTGCATCCAGGAGTGCAGTGAAGATTTATAGGAGGCTCGTTCCTACTTGAATTCTAGTGGTGTAGTGGGTCAGGCATTTGACTGCTAACGAGGTCAGTGGTTCAAACCTACCAGCTGCTCTGTGGGAGAAAGAAGAGACAATCTACTTCCATAAAGATTTATGGCTTGGAAACCCAGTGTAAGTCAGAATCACTGGATGGCAGTAGGTTTGGTGGGGTTTTTTTTTGTTTTGTTTTGGTTTGGTTTGGTTTAGTTTCTACTTGACCTCACATATCCAGAGTCCTTGGTCCTATTTTTCAATCCCTTTGTCTTATCAGTGGAAACAAATCTTGGATATTAGAGAAGCTATTTGAAACACCATGCATTTTCACCTTTGTGAAGGTTAAGCTGCATGTCAGTTTATCAAAAACAAGGCATAGGATCCTGCTTAAAATCTCCCTTTCTGTTGCATCACCTCCTCAACCTGCATTTTGACCAGACCCTTCCCTGGGTGTGCTGATGCTTTGGTGTGGCCCTCTTTTCACTCCCTTGTTCCTAAAACTGTAAACAGACACTTAGTGTTAGGTGTTGACCATTCTGATTTGCCACTCCTTGCTGCCTCTTTTCTTTCTTTAAAAAAAAAAAAGAGGTTTTTAATTCAGTTGTGATTTTAGATAACTTATTCACACAGAAAAGGCAAGCACAACACAGAAGGTGGAGATACCTTTCAGTTCCTGATGTGGGCAGTATGAAAAATGGAATATCGTTAGGAAAACATTTGTTCTTACCTGTATAGTAAGGAGCCCTGGTGGAGCAATGTTAAGTGCTTGGCTGCTAACCAGCAGGTCAGCAGTTCAAATCCACCTGTGATGACTGGGAGAAAAGACCTGGTGATCTGCTTCCATAAAAATTCAAGCTCAGAAACCCTACAGCGCAGTGCTACGCTGTCCTATAGGGTCACTATGAGTCAGAATCAGCTCAGTGGCACACAACAATATCTATATAGCCATGAATCTGGATATTCACAATGTTCAAAGTGCTCAAGGTGTGTGTGGCTTATTCTAAGATTGTTGTTGTTGTTCTGTGCTGTCGGGTCAATTCCAACTCATAGCAACTTAATAGGACAAGGTAGAACTACCCCATAGCATGCTCTGTATTCTTTATGGGAGCAGTTTGTCAGGTCTTCTTTCCCCTGCAGAGATGCTAGTGGGTTCAAACTGCTGACCTTTTTACTTGGCAACTAAGTGTTTAACCATTGCACCACCAGAAACTCCACTGCTGTTGAGTCAATTCCAACTCATAGTGACCCTATAGGGCAGAGTAGAACTAACCCCTATAGGGTTCCCAAGGCTGTAAGTCTTTTTTTTTTTTTTTTTTTCTTTTATTGTGATTTGGGTGAAAATTTACAGAGCAAATTCACTTTCCATACAGCAGTTCACATACACTTTGTCTCGTGACGTTGACCACAA